AACCTTACGGAATGTTATTTACGAAAATTATATTTAAAATATCGTTAGAATTACCTTTATTTGTAGACGTATTAAAAATTCTGGTACCCTACCACGCATGAAACATGAAAATAATGAGACGGTCGTTTTATTTAGATACAAACATTATTTATATGAATAATAAATATTATTTAGAATATCGGAGAGTGAAGTATTTGAAATATTCTAACATGAATGTGTTTACCTGCTACGTCTGAAACACAAACAGTTACATAAATTATAATGAAACAATTGTATTATTTGGAAATATTACAAACTTAAGATGGATTTAGACGATTTTCGTTTTCTAAAATTAACTATGTATTCAATTACTGTACTGTACTTCTATTCAAAACTCTACTAGTCAACCACGCCTGAAACACCCTCCGTACTAATAACAATAGAGACAAAAGAGTGTATTCAGATTACGTGACAGTGCTCAAGGAAAGTCGTAGCAGAACTCTAGTAAAAGATCGTGAATAAACAACTTTACAAGCCCACGTGACCGTTCGTAGACCGCAAGTTCCGATTTTTACCAGGAAGTGTATGCTGAGTAAAATCATTCACGCGTTAATTGGAGCACTCGTGGAATAATGTCACTCGCATTTCACTCGTGAAACACACGCACAATACACGCGAGTAATGTCGAATGTTCGGTAATCAGTACTGTAGGATCGAGTCAATTAAAAGTTCTGTCGTGAACATCTGTATGTACTCATTCAAATAGTAAAAATAGTAGTAATTAGTAGTTGTTTATAAAGTAATTAATAAATTTTGCCGCTTTTGTCAATTTTTCTACTTTTGTATTAAAAAATTGTTGTAAAATACCACAACACATTGGATATAATTTGCTTCATAAAATCTTCCTATTTTTTGGTTTCCCTACTTGGGAGGTCTGTTCCTACAGTATGTGTGGGTGGATAGATTATCATATAAATAATTATCTTCACCAGTTTCAGACATACAAGTCCAATATCAACAAAGCAAGTTCTGTTTTCATTGAAGATGGGAACTCCCTTTACTTTGTTCGCTGGTGGTGATTTGAAATTTGTTAACATTTCTTAATCTTTTTAAACATATTTTAGGCAAAATTGATTGAAATGCATGTACACAACCATGTACCTATTATCAACAATATTTAGGAATTAGACAATAAAAAGGAATGTTGAGGCTTGAAAGACACATTGTTTTCAATTACGTACACCATTTGCAAAAAAAAATAATCTGTTATACACTGTCTCCAGCATTTTGTACTTACCTGTAGAACTGGACTCGAATCAAAATGAGTTCTGCTAGGCCTTCCTTCCAGGGTACTAAATGCTACATTCCCCCCAGTTAGTGGGGATATATTACTATACTCATCAGTGCAAATAGCCTTGTCCTCCATTGCTCGCGTAATAATCTGCTTGAATGGAAGGTTGTACATCGTACGACAGTTTCCGCTGTAGTATTGATATGGCGTCCATTCGGAGTCTCTGGTTGTTCGTTTGTATATCGCAAATGACTCCGGTCGGCTTGTGTGGAACTTAAGACGGACAAATGTGATGTCAAAAGATTTTCCTAAAATGGGAAAAAAAAAAAAAAATCATCAATCCTAAGATTTAATCAGAATGCAATTAAGTCCTTTTATCTTACATTTTTATTAATAGGGACTATAAAATAAGGACAAATTATCAGTAAATCCATTTTTTCCATCAATGCTTGCAGTTATTTTCCTCCAACCCAAGTTATTTAAAATACTGGAGCAAAAAAACAACAAACTCCCACACTGTCTAAAAACTATGTTGGCCCAATTTTAAGTGATAATTCCCAGGATTCTTCAGGCACACAATGCAGGTCAGTGGAGTACACCTGGTACTTTAGTCATGGCACCACTGTCAATATGCATTGGAGAACATTGCTTCACATTCATCAGGGACAGATTTGGAGGGGGGAGGTCGGGAGGTAAAAAAAAAAGAAAAAAAGAAAGAAAAAGAAAAAAATGATAGCCCAGAATGGCTCAAATGTTATTTTCGGGCATCTAGAACACAGTGTTGTCTCGATCGGCCCAACTTTCGCCCCCCCCCCCCCTTTTGGACATCTCTCGATCCACCTCTGCTCATAACAACTTAATAAAAGACAAAAAAATAATCAAGTATCTCATAAGGATCATTCTAGAAAAGTGGAGAACAAAATTTTAAGAAGTTAATTAAATGTATTGTATTGTAATAGGCTGTAATACACTATTTACATTTGGGTTTTGATTAAAGACATAAACTACAATTACTGAATGAAACCATAACATATAATAACATACAATTCAAATTTTGCTTTAAACATTTTTAAATTAATATTTAAATTTAAGTACTATAGTCAGTAGTGTGATACCAGATGAGATAGTACAGTACATTACAGTTACTTTTCATAGTCATATTGGAATAGGGTGTAGTCACCTATGACATTGCCATTGTGGGATGGTTCACCTCTCAACTTTTAGAAATCAATCAGAATTGTATGTTAGATGACATGATGCAGTTTTTCATCACTCCTTAATATAGCTAAACCAGCTGGAACTTTCACAAATGTTGTATTTTTAGTTCATAGTTTTGCTAAAAGTCTTATGGATTTATGGATTCAACACAAAACTCACAAATAATTATCAGTAGACAGTTTCACTACACATAAAATGAACTAATGAATTAATATTTTTGTAAGCTTACGTGATATTATTCTGTTTTTAAATAAATTAATAATCATAGATTTTTTTTGTCTACAGTACTTTACAGCACCTGTAAATGTAACATAGAATCATTTGCTAAGAGCTGAGCAGTTGGCCGAGTTGTACAGAAGTTCCTGCTTCTTGTGCTGAAGACTCCAGTTCAAAGCCAGCCAGCGTTTGGGTTTTAATTGGAGTCTGACCACTTGGCTCCTCGAATAACCCTCATATTGAGAGTCAAGGACAATGTTTGCATCCATAAGTGTCCATTATGTGTTGTAGTTAAATTGGTGGCACTGCATTGTGGCCAGCCGGCCCTGGTCCCTCCTAAATTTGTCAACAATGTTTTTTTAAAGTTAAGGAAAAAGAAAATTCGAATAAAATTTTGAGTCTAGAAGTGCCATTTCCAGCCATCTACAGGTGCCATAATCATAAATTTTCTTACCTCAGCCAAAACCATGGTGGGGCTGAGGTAGTATAGACCCTCCACCCCAAAACCCCTCTCCGGGCCCCCTCTATTTTAAATTCCTGGATCCGCCACTGCGAGGGAATATCCAATAAAATAAATTCCATATGAATAATTGGTAAAACACATACGGTAAATAATTACATTTCAGTATGCGGTTGTATTTAAATTGCAAAGTATAAATACATTTTCTGTTTTACATTTGAGTATATTATAGTACTGTGTCTTTGAGCTACAAGCAAAATAACGAAGAGAGCAATCTTAAGTTACCAGGGAATGAAAATAGAATCCTAAAGTACTGAGGCTGAGATAACATAACTGGTTTGCTGATGTAATACACTAGGAATTCCATTACCGGACTCAACCAATTTGTTATTAGAACTGTGATTGAACACTACTGTAGTAGGCCTCTCTTCATTTGTATATTGGTTTGGACAATGAACAATATTGTTGAACTTTAATTATTATTTTCTTGTAATTGTTGGGATTATGCACGAGCTAACAAAATCACTTTCCATGTAAATTTACTAACAAGATTAAATATTTTAATATTATATTTTATACAATGTACAACATATTATTCTGTACATAAGAATATTGTTAACTATAATTTTATCTTGTACAACATTACTATATAAAGTTTCATTCTGTACAAGATCAACTGCCTAATACGGTATGTCAAAAATACAGGAATACTGGTAGTTAATTACATACAGAAGTGTTACTACAAACTCAGTACATTAATTATTTCATGAGTGTGGCTTTAACAGCAGCAAGCCTCATCAGTTCAAAAAGTCCTTGCTCAATGTTACAGTACTGTATACTGCTAAATAATGAACCCTTAACAATTAAACACTAGCAGACTGCAATACAAGAAAGTTCACTAAAATGTGAAGACATTAGGTTGTAAGACCTGAAATGTCTAAATGCTTGTGGTGTCATAACATGTAGGTCGCAGGCAGCAGCGAAACAGTGTGAGGTTGATTGCATGCGTGTGGAATGCAACCTTAGAACAAGCTGCCTAGAGAAAGCCGGTTATCGTGCACGTACCAAGATCCTAGCATGAATCTTGGTTGAATCATGGGCCATAACAACATGCTTCGCACAACACATTGCTCCAATTACCAATTCACTACAAACAATATGCCAGTGGCTTTAATACCTCTTTCTATGTAGTTTGGCAAGTCGGTCAATTTTACCAGCACTCTTCATTCATAATTTACCACAACATATTATTCAAATTTATCACTGACTGTTGATACAGTCTGACAACAATCAGAACGCTCATCTTTTTTTTAAATGACAGGATAATAATAGTTGAATTACATTTTGTAATACAGCCTTATTTTTGAGTAGCATCGCAACACAGCATTAAGCTGTTATGAATTTAAGTGTGGTTGTACATGTCAATTTCCAGTAAATTTTCTACTTCACTTACATAAGGGCAAATAGAAAAATTTATTAGATTATCACTCCCGTCCGCGTCAAAAATTTGGGAAATATTGATGCGGGAATAAAAAAAAATTTTTTTTGCCGCATCAATTATTTCAAGAGCATAAAAAACAATGCCATTTTGTGACTTCGAATACATTTTCTTTAAAAACTATAAAATTAAACCAGTTTTTATACAATATTTACTATCACAGACCAAATATAAATAGTCCCTTCCTTATAAATAAAAACAAAAGCGAAATAATTTATTGTTCCGATTAAAAACAAAACAAAAACAAAACAAAACAAAAACCGCCCTCCCTCATCAATTTAAAAAAAAAAAAAAGGAGTGATAATCTAATAAATTTTTCTATGTGCCCTTAGAATCTGCTTCAATACTGTGAATGTAGGTAAGAATGGCCCCGGAAAAAAGGCCCAGGAAAAAATGGCCCTGGAAAAAATGGCCCCAGTAAAAATGGCCCCAAATGACAAGTAGGTAAAAATGGCCCCAAATGACAAGTAGGTAAAAATGGCCCGAAAAAATTCAGTAATAGGAAATGATTTTTTTTTTTAAATCTTCAAATATTTAAATACTGTAATAAGCAAGAATTGAATCAATAACAATAACAGTTACACAGATGCAAATAATGTACTGAGAGATTATCAGAAAACAACGGCCATTGAACATTTTTGATAGTTTTAAAAACGTTATTCCACTAACAAAGAAAAGGAACGACATACATACAGTACTTCAACTACCAAAATATGCAACTCATAAATAACCACAAAATTCACTTTTGTTAAGTATCAAATGAAATGAACTTTACATGTTATAAACAGTGCAAATAAACAGTAGTTAAAGCATGTGGATCAATTGTGTGTTTGAATGACAAGTTCATGTATGGGAAAAGGGAGGCTTACTTTACTCAACAAATGTTCTGCTTAGAGTTACTTTAAAGAAGTATTTGTTAATCAAATATTGTTTTTAAAGTAAACTGAATAATTATTAAAATGTTGATTTCTTTTTGTGAAAAAAATACTTGCAAATGCACCACAATCCTCCAAACACACTGCGAACCCCATCCAAACCCTTTAATTACGATTGTACAACTCTCTTTTTCTATTAAAAAAAAAAAAATAATTTGATGTTCATATAAGCTCATTGTTTGTGGGGTTTATCAATACCCGGATTGAATTTCTGGAAAATTGTGATTCCGCTTCCTTGAAATTGGCCACAAATAAATTATTTTAGTATTAATAAATGCATGATTTATGTTGATTTATTGATTATGTTGTTGCTATTTTTTAACATTTAAATGGAAAAAAAATAAAAAGTGTTATTCATGGCTTTTTTTTTTTTATCTTTTAATATTTTATCATTAAATATGTAATTTCTGCAAAAATTAAAATGTAAATGGCAATTTATTTGATGTTAAATTCTATTTAAAAACTAATTATTTCAGTTTAAAAAAATGCAAATAATGATTTTTTTTAAATCAGTTTTAATACAGAACTTTATTATTGGGGCCATTTTTACCTACCTGTCATTTTGGGCCATTTTTACCGGGGCAATTTTTTCCGGGGCCATTCTTACCGTACACCCAATACTGTACATGTTTTCCTTACTGTATTTCATATCATAATTTTCACCTTTGTATAGGTTGAAAGTGATGCACACTAAAGTACTATCTATTACTAAAAAATTGTGTATGTGTTATACAGGTTAGTAAACTTTTTAATGCAACCATTTGGAGGGTGCCGCCAAGTAAAAGTAACTGTTAATCATGTATTTATTCACCATACAAATTGTTATCTATATGAAAGAGTAGTCTGTTCTACTGTATTACAATGAGTACCGTTATTGCTTACAATTTAATAACCCTTGTTATTGTCTTCATTCATGCTTCAAAGACCAGCGTCTAAATACTCGTCTCTGGCATTTCCGTAGCTAGCTAACAGTACTCATAC